AGGCAGGAACAACGGTCATTCACCCTGTGCGCGAACTGAGAAAAATAAGAATCGAGTTTTTGTCGCTGTGAGGATTTTTGATAGTTTACCACAGACATAATTTGATCGTTGTAAACAGATGTGTAAAAAAGTGATTGTAATGGTGTATGTGATCGATTGATTTTCGCATTGGTATCCAGCAAGTTGCACAAATGCGTAGGTGGTACAAGTCCTAGACGATTGTTTGAGAGTATTGCCATTTCCGTCCGTTACCGTATTGACCAAGATTTTGGGATTGAGCTCGGCCTGTTAGATAGAACAATCCAACAATCGAGAATTGTCCTCCCAAGTCCTTGCAACTGCTGAGGATGGGAAGGATTGTTAGTTGGACACTTACTTAAGAGAGATGCAGATAAGTGTTCCAGGAGTTTGGAGGTTTGTTAGTGGGGAAGGTAAAGCATATGAAACGTTCGGTAAACGTTGCTGGCAGATTTATAATAGCAATAGTGAATCGATTGTTAACTACCTGTATTTTACACTGTGCACTAAAAGTTATATGTTTTGTTCAGAAAATTTCGCGAAAAATACCAAAACTACGTTGTGGCATTCATAAGAGCGAACAGAGAAATAAATTTTCAAACGCGTTTTTCTCTGCTTGCTGTTTTTATAGATGGGACTGATATGATTTTATGGGGCAATGTAGATCTAGTTTGTCTGAGGAACTTAGAATTAGGAAACGTGATAGTCGACTGCCTTTGCATCCGACACTTGCAAAACAAGCTATCATAGTAGAGTACCAAACTAAAATGTCATATTACAGGCTCTGTCATACGACTCTGTCCTCGAAGACGAAGTATGTTAGTTTTCCTCATAAATAATAAGAGCTGCTGATGTTGTGCTTGTGTGAATTCTGAAAATAGCAAGCAATGATGTCGTAGTAATAACATTTCTGATCAGAAATGGTTTAATTTACACCAAATTGAGGAATTAGAAAGAAATCACACATGTCATATGATAGTTATTTAATAATTTTCTTTTTGCTCGAATGTTATTCTACCGTTTGTGTTGTGTGAGAGAGACGACGGTAGAGCATGATTGTACGAATACAAACAGACTGTCGCGCACGACAACGGAGCGACTGAAGTAAAAAACGTCAACCGTTTCAATCCCTGCTCTTGACACCGATGAAGTTCTCTGAAATTCTAGGAACTTCAATTATATTCCCGCAGTTTGTTTATGAAGCTTCACTGAAATTCTCAAAATTTCCTTCCATTCACTTCTGTAAAGTTCCCTTTCATTTAATTTATTTCCTTAATTCTGGCACTTCGAAAATTTTAAATATCTTGAACTTGTATATGGAATATGAAACTTCAAGACATTTAATTTTTTGAGATCTTTGTAGTGACTTTAGTGACTAAAATTACGAAAATAGTGACTAAATAGTGATTTTTACACAATTAAAATGTGACCAATAGTAAAGGGTGTCCACGATGAAATTGCCACACACAAAATTGATTCGCAAAATTCGAGTTTTCATCCGATTGCCATCAAATTTTCAGGGATTGAGAAATAACTATTAAACTTCATTTTACCATTTTACTCGTATTTTATTTACAGTCCATACGCAAATGCCCGCACCTTGGCCTTAACCCCGGCCATAAGATTCTGCACAACCTGTGAATCAACCGTTTTTTGCATGTAAACCCATACTTTCTTCAGTTCCTCGACTGTCTTCACTACCTTAGGTCGTTTAAGAAGGTGCTGCTTCATAATCGCCCAGTACTTCTCGATGGGGCGGAGCTCCGGAGTGTTGGGAGGGTTGAACATTTTCGGCACAAAATTGACCTTATTGTCCGCATACCACTTCAGCACGTCCTTGGAGTAGTGGCATGAGGCCAAATCCGGCCAGAAGATTGTTGGGACGTTGTGGGCCTTCAGGAGAGGAAGCAGCCGCTTCTGGAGGCACTCTTTTATGTACACCTGTCCGTTCATCGTGTCATGGGTCACGAAAGGTGCACTCCGCTTCCCGCACGTGCAGATGGCTTGCCAAACCAGGAATTTCTTCGCAAATTTGGACATCTTCTGAGTGCGGACATGCTCCGGAACGCTGAACTTATCCTTGGCCGTGAAAAACAGGTTACCGGGGATCTGTTTGAAGTCGGCCTTCACATATGTTTCGTCGTCCATGATGCCGCATTCAACTTTCGTCAGCATGTTGAGGTACAACTTCCTGGCACGGGTTTTGGCGGACTTGTTTTGCTTCTCGTCGCGATTAGGGGCCTTTTGTACCTTGAACGTTCGAAGCCCAGCCTTAGTTTTGGCCTTCTGGACAAAACTTCGGCTTAGGTGCAGCTTCTTAGCCACATCCCTAACGGAGGCGTTCGGATTTCGGTTGAAGGCCCCAACTACGCGGTTGTGATTTTTGGTGTTGTACGGAATACTTTTTCCTTCACTTCTGGGCTTCCGATCGGTGGTCAACCGTTCCTCGAACCGCTTAATCACTCGCGACACCGTGGAATTCACGATTCCCAACGTTTTAGCGATGGAACGATGCGAGAGATCCTTGTTCTCGTGATGAATGCGCAAGATTTTATCACGCACGAGCTGTTCTTTCGACTCCATTTCCGCGAGTTTTGATCACAGGACTTTAAAACTTGCAGGATGTAAATAATGCATTATGAACTAAATCCACCTAAATTTTCATTAAATTCTACCCAACGGTTAAAAAGTTAGAGCAATTTCATAGTGTGGCAATTTCATCGTGGACACCCTTTAACATTTATTGATCGAGAAGATATGGTTCCAATCTTCCGTTGATTGCGATTGTCACTTCGAGAAATTTTATTAACTAAAAAATAAACAAATGGTGTGAGGATCCCGTGAAATTGTTCTTGAAAAATAAGTATGAATTGAATAATCAAGAGCATGGTCCAATTCTAACTTCCTCTTCTAACTCACTCTGAAACCATAGAAAAAAATCATAACTCTAGAACCTAGACAACTTTTCTAGATCGTAGTCTAAGAAAAAATCTCATTATTATGGAACGAGGAAAATTATCCCAGATTCTAAATTTAAATGCGTCTAGAACTTAAAATCTCGTTCGTGAAAAATTAGAGATTTAGGGATACATTTTAGAGTTTTGGAACACATTTTTTTATTGCTGGGACTTCAAAATTCGAGACATCTAAGACAAACAAATTGAGAAAATTGTTCGGTCTGAAATAATTTTCTATATTTTGAACATTTAGAATGTAAGTTCACAGTCCTTGAACAAAGTTAATGCTCTTGAAAAATAGAAAACATTTTATGATCATGGACATCACTTTTTTCTAAAACGTGGACCTGGAATTTTTTTCTCCGCATTACCGGTTTATTAGTCCGGAAAAAATACAATTTAATTTACATAAAAAGGAACTCAAGATTTTGTGACATGATTTTTTTTCGATATTTGTACAAATACTAAAGCTACCCGGTATCAACGATTTTACAAATTACATGCCTTTGAAAAATGTCGAGAGCTTAAAAAATTTCCTAGACCTTTTTTTGACATTTAAGGCTTCGAAAACATTCAAAGTCTCGAAGTAAAATAGCGAAAATATTTGGTCTAGATTTTTTTTTTCGGAACCTCTGACAATTTGTCGTAGGCCTATGACAATTTTGAGAACAAAAAAATTAAAATATCACATAAATTGGACAGTTACTGTTTCCGTCTGTTGGCAACTCTTCCTGACAGTCAGAATATACACACGGATTTTTAATGAATCTTTCTAAAACAAATTTGATACCAAATCAAGCTGTGATTTGATGTGAATTTTTAAAGTCCAATTCTTTACTCCCAACATTCGTTGTAAAAAATGACTTTAGTGACTAAATTTTAAGGAATAGTGACTTTAGTAACTTTTTGATTAAAATAATGACTTTTTAGTGCCTGACGTGGAAATAGTGACCAAGTCACTAAAAAGTGACCTGCTACCAGCCCTGTATAATAAGCTTGCAAATTATCCGTCAAAGTTCTGGAAAACATCAATTTGTTCGAAAATTAGTACAAAATGTAGGCATCGATTGGACTATCAGATCGTGAGAATGATTAATCTTGAAATAAAATCACATTGAAAAAAAATGAAAATATTGACTGATTACGGGTAAAAGTGATTTCAGTTATTTGACTTTAAAAAAGGAGACTTTGTAGTAACCATTTATGAAATATATAGTTCTATCATTTGGGTTCGTTCCGGTATGGTATTTTTATTAGGACTATCAATTCTTGTATTTTTAAGAATGGTTCAGTCTCACCATAGGTGCAAAAATTAGATTTTTATTGGTAAAAATACCTAAGATTTAAATTGCCTGGCACATATCAAATTTTAAGAAACAATCGAAAACGAAACCTCATTTTAAGTACTCTGGTGTTTACATCAACGTCACCAATAGGTGGATCAATCTTTTTAGTTGTAATTTTACTTTTGATCATACCTAATTAAAATTATTTTTTTAGGTTTTCCCCTTTGATGCAGTAATCTTTTGTGAATCAGTGCCATTTTTTTGCTCGGGTGTTTCATCCAGGGTAGAGTACTTTATTATCACCACACGCCATAATGGAAACAGTCAGTGTGTAATCTTGTTTTTCACTCTTCCGTTTTCTCTCAACTGGTTTCTCGCATAGTGCTTTTTATATTTGATTCGCCGTCCACCGCCTTTGCCCTGTACATATATTTTTCCACATTCACAATGTAGTAGGTATAGCAATGCTGAGACGAACGGGACGAGCGAGACTTGAGCCGGCATAGAAACACGCGTTTCAGTACGAACCTAGCATCCGAAACGATAACAGCAGCGAACATAACAAAAGTTGCGTACGCGTTTCGATCATAGTAGAGCAACAGTCCTTCCGCGAAAACTTTCTGTGTCATAGGAACACCCACGTGCATTCAATCACAGACGGACGGCAACTCATGCTCGGAGAATTCTGGTGATTTTTTCTCATCTCTCAGCCATACACACGCTTGCCTTTGTTGTATACCGTTACCGATGATGAGTTACGGAGAACAGTTTAGCGCCAGCTATGTTTGCTAAAATCCGTTATGATTAATCCCGAGCGACACGATTAGTTCATCGAAGATAAATACGCTACAGGCACCTAATACCAAGTCTAAGCGCTACTGGGATGTAATTAATGGAGTGATGTTTGTATATATGGTACTTCCTGCGAGCAAAATAGATCTCATTGAAGAGGCATGAGTGTGGAACTCTGAATGCAGCATACATTAAGGTGCAACCCGAAGAAGTCAACAAAGAGTGAGAAGAAATCGAGTGCATAGAGGGATAAGCTTTCTCTCGCAACCGAACGGAATACCAAACGGGTGATGGGCACAGAGAGAAAGCAACGGTTTTGGGCGAATGAAAATAAAATTGTAGGAAAATAAACCGAGAAGGAGTAGCAAAGCGTACAAAGTGCCTGACCTTGATAATCGTTTCGGCCGTCGGATCGAATGGGCGATTAGTCGGCGTGGATAGGCGAAACATTTTCGACGTCGTCGCGACTTTCGTCATCGGCTTGTTTTTGTTTTTATTGTTTCCGAGCAAGTTGCGGTGCCGGTCTTTTGGCAGCGGTTGTGAATTATGATTGGTGCGGTCGTCGTGGTGTTTAAAGAAAAGTGAATACACAAAACTGGGTGCTCTTAATTAAAAATTCCAAATATTCGCTCTGCAAGAAAGAGAAGAAGTGCACAACTTTATAAAGCAACTGATTGTTGGAACCAGACCGTCCGATTAATAATTTAGGAGAGACGTAACACCGCACCAGTTGTTGGCGGTGACTAACGGGAATAAAACCGGGAAATTACGCTTCGACTGCAGCGGACATCTCATTCCCGTTGACTTGGTGCAACGAGTAAGAAAACCAACACCAACCACATCCGAAGAGCTTCAGATATTAGATATCCACGATGGATAAGCAAACAGTAGTACTTACCACAGTATTTCTGCTGTTGGTTTTAGGTAATTATTCCAATTTCCCTGCCTCTCGAATCATTTGGTGGAGGATATTGGAAATAAATCATGAATTGCGTGTTTGTCCCTGATTTTATCGTTTCAGTGAATTCGACCGATAACATATTTTTCCTGCGCAAATGGCGATACTCTTTGTTTATTTCAACTAACTGTTAATTGCGGGATTGAACAATCTAGTCCTGATTGCAGTAAACAGTATTATTAATCGACATGATTTACTTTGTTTTGTTCATTGCTCGGAGTGCAAAATCCGTATCATCGATCAATTATATCCGGAGTGGGGTAAACATTGTGGGAGTTTATGATTTCGTGTGATTGGGTTGGTATATAAGACAGTTATGAATACTAGCACGCGATTCATTGTTCCCGCTCAGAACGAATCGTGTTACAGCAATTATACTACCTAAAATCGCATTGCTGTCCCATGTGGATAGGGAATCAAGCAAAGATGGGACTGATATATGATATGTGATTATGGACAGCAAACTACTCAAGAGATTTGAACTTATTAGCTCCAAGCAGCTCAAGATGTAGAGAAGTACAGTCTTCGATGAACCTGTTTGTATCGAGATGTTCAGTTTAAAATGTAGGCGGTTTGTAGTAATGTATAATCGATCAATAAATTACAACATAGCTCCATAACTTCATCAAGTGGTTATAGCGAAAAAGCGCATTTTCCCTGTACCCTGCGTAGAACAAACCCACAGAACAGTTATCGAGACTGTATTTATTTGTATACATATCCAAACTGTAGAAGACTAGGTGTAACATGTTTGTTTCTTCGCAGTTTGTAAATATTTACGCCGGAATTCCAACGCCGCCCGTTTCCCGTATCACTGCGACTGCAGATAGCATAAAAATAGGTTAGCTATCAGTGCTATCACGCTATCAGTATAATAATCAGGCACAGGTCCACCTTGCGATAGATGGATGATGATTTGATGATATTTATTTTTACCATGGCCTTCCGGGTAGCCTAGTCTGTAATGATGCAGCATGGCGAAGGCAGCGCGGGTTCGACTCCCGATGCAATCAAGTTATTTTGTGGACTCGAAGTTTTCTCGCGATTGCACAGTGGAACGAACCTTTTAAAATCGTGTGTTTTTTATTTGCGTGGAAATGTTTGATGTTACAAGGACGTTTTGCATTACCCTAATACGTGGATACATCATCACCCTAATGGTTTCAAAAGTGATTTTTTATGTCTTCAAACTTCTCAGAAGACACAATGTTTTCAAATGATTTTTTTTTTAAGTGATTTTACAAAATAGTACATCTTGATTTTGACAAGATCTTGATTGATATGATTTTCCAATAAATATGTGAATTTCCTAGAGCACAGGTTTTCGGGATTCTTCAATCGGTTAACCAACCATCGGCGAAGCACTGCATTCGGAAGACAAACGGTATTAGGGAATCAGTCCGAGCATCATTAAGCCGACCTCAGATAGCCTAGTCAGTGCCCTTCCTTTCGAAATTTCCTTAAAACTAGTTTAAAATTTTACAGAGTTCTATCGTTAAATTTTTCTTCGAATTCTTTTGAAGTTCTCCTTGGATACTGCTCCTCCTCATTAGCATACCCTAAGTATTCTCCGAAAATTCCCATGGATACTTCGGATTTTACTTTTCTCTCCAGAACTGTTTGGGATTCTCCACCGAAGTTATGCCTAGATCCTTAGCAATTCTCATCAAATTCATTCATGAGCCTTGAAAATTTTTTCCACCGAAGTTATGCCTAGATCCTTAGCAATTCTCATCAAATTCATTCATGAGCCTTGAAAATTTTGCCAAATGATTGTTTGACGTATTTCAATACATTGCTTTCTTAAAAATTTGCTTGGAAAGAGAATTTGAAAATTCCCTCAGTAATGGTAATATCTGCTGAGAGTTCCAGTTTTTTTTCCAAGAAAAATAAAATTCTCCTAGGGTTCCCAGGTATGCGCGTGAGATTTTTTTTTCTACACCATGTTATTCAAATGGGAGCTGGGTACCCAAATACCCCGCCAGGCAGATGACGGTAAAAAAGTGTCAAAATCTTACATTTTCTTAAATTAATAAACGACGAAATATCGTATTTTAGCTGTATTAGCTTTTAAGTCATAGTTATGGATTGACTTTATGAATATTACAAGGAAAGCAAACAATATTAATCGCACTGTGGTTAGAAAAGATAGAATCACATACGTACTTGTAGAAGAATGGTATTTGCAACTCAAGTAACATTGTAAGTGTTATCGAGGTTTTACTATTCTCCAAGTCTAAATCATGGTCTACAAAACCCTCATAAAACCTAAATTTTTACTTGGGAAGATTTATACAACTGTGAATAGCATGAGCAGAACTCATTGAAAGTAAATTTAAATGTTCATTTAATTTCTTCATCCACAATTTAGGAATCGCATTGTACATGATCACAGTTTTCCAACTATTGCTGTCATATTCTCACTGTAATACGCTAAGCACGTCATCTGCATACAGCTTTCCTGCTGAACTAAGATTACCGCATCGATATGAAAGCAACCTACTAACGCACAAAGTGCGGCGAACGACATGATTAAAAATAGCATTTTCAGCCGCAAGCGCACCCATCCCGGAAGTATTGATAATACCCAATTAGATGCAACTCTAAGGAAGATGATGATGTAAAGTACTGAGAACTTGTGCGATCACCGGCCGCGTCTGTCTCCCGGTGTCAATCTATTGTTAAAAGTCATTGACGCACAGTCTTTGAATCGGGAGAATCATCGATTAAGTTTCATGAATGATCCAATTTTTCCTATCTGTCTCGACTCGCGCGGTGAAGTGGGTCACAATTGAATACATATCCATACCGTTATCATATCAATTTGGCCGCCCGATTCAAACAAGCCAAGCCGCCACGAGCATCACGAATGAATGTCAGCTTGGAGTTGGCATACGTTATATGTGATTAAATTGAATTATTTATTGTCTCGTCCCGTGTGAGATGTCATCCGTTACGATCTCCGGACAATGCGATCTACTCGGAAGCGATCTTATTGTCAGTGGTTAAGCAAATTAGGAGCAAATCAGACACTTTTATTCGCCAGATGGCGCCCAAATTGTGAAATGATGACGTCAATTTTATTTTCCATAAGCTACTGCACGCATATTATGAATGCAGAACAGGGAACATTTTTGTTTGCAGTACGGTTATTATTCGATAATAAAGATCGAGTATGACAACAATGAGGAAAGCTTAAGGACAATACGCATTGATATACTAATCCTAATTTATCATTAATTGCACTTTCGCTTTCCATTACGCGATACCATTCCGTTTAGACTTGTTGTATAGACACATGAGAAAATTAAGGTCGGACCGTGCTCCCAAATAGGCGACGGAATGACAATAAATACGACAGCAGCAGCGTATAAAAGAAAGCGTAGCTATCGAACTCACTGCATATGCGTCATATCGTGAGATCAACATTTGCTCAACACTTAGTACTGTACCTTGTACCTACATTAATCGCAACCACGCGGATATATTTTGAATTGTTGGAGGGCTTATGCGGTTGAAATGTAAGATTAGAAGCAGACGTGCTTGTGGAAGAGTTCAACCGTACTCAATGACATAAACGTGCCATCCAAACATTTGCATAATACTTCGTTGGTTATAAAAAAAAAACCTGTTCCACATAAATATTTGGCAAATCTTTACATCTAGAGGTGTTCCGAAATGATACAACATCGTTCGATATAACATTTTTTTGATCTGAGGCCCATAGGGTCAAATCAGCATTGATCTTTCAACAATTTTATCGAGTAGAGGGAATCTTTAGGAAAAAGTTTAGTTCTTGAGAAATTTGCTATAAAATAATTGTTTATATGTGTGACATAGTCAATTATGCAACAACAATAACGGTTTTGTTTTTTTTAATCTGCTTGATGATGGTTTTTAACCGATTTCTGACCACATTAGTGACATTTGGCGATAGGCAGATTAACCGGAGTTGTTTTCTATTTTTATTTGGAGCCACGTTTACGCATCCATAACCTATTACAAATGTATTACTCAAGATTACTATCCATAATTTCATAACAGCTTGACTGATGGACAACTCTTTTTTTGACCAAAGTTCAGAGTATTCAAATGACTCTCCAATAGGCCAACGTGATTTTCTATCGATGTTGAACTTGCTCAACTGTCGCGGCGAAATCGTAACAGATTTGCTCCTTTCCAGCGGTAGCAACAGAGAGTATAGGTATGGGTAGCCTCAGTAAAAATGAGTTTCTTTCTTTTCCGATGCAGTCAGTTACCACAAGAAAGCGGATTGTTCGCGGGTCACTGGACGGCTGGCTAGCTGGTTGGCTGACTGCGGCATACATATATTACGCTGATGGCTTTTGCTCTTTACGCGAGAAGCGCTGCGATTATTCTAGCGTGAAAGAAAAAAAAGTGCAGAATAATAACAATAATACCGATCACGGAATAACATTATCTCGTGCTCTCCATGCCTTTGCTTTGAGAAGCGAATGCTTCACTTTCAACGGAGCCAGCTGTTAAGACTTGGTGATAAAGTAAAAACGTTTAGTTGTTAAAGGACAATCTCGGTTAGATGAAAAAAGAGATGACTGTTTACAAGTTACGCTGTTATGTTCGGGTGTTTTATCTATAAAATGATGAAACTTTGTTTTAGCCAATAGGGTTTATTCTGCGAATCGACGTGACTGGTATGTTTTAAATGGTTACTTAAGTAACGTGACTTGTCCAAAATAACCTCCATTCAGTAGACCAATGAATATGAAACGATCAGTTTGTTTTTTTCAAGAGAAGTCTCTAACATATAATGTCTTTTGTAAAATATAGTATAATCTATGACGGATCTCTTACATCCGGGATTAAAAAAACATTTAAAAAGGGTTTCTAAATTAAGAAAATGCCAAAAGCATTGACTACAAAAATACCTTTAAATAGCTTTAGCTTCAGAAATGATTTTAAATAGTGAAAAATAGCCTTCATATGG